GAAGCTCCTGTCACTCAAGGAGCATCCACCCCACCTACCCCTCCTCTTTCCCTCCATCCCTCACCTCTCCGTTTACACTTAGTCAATATTCATTAGTCAGTGTTTAGTATAGAATGAGAGAGAGAATGTGTGGGTGAAGGAGACAGAAAGGAAAACCGAATATGTGTGCATATATATATATATATATATATGAAAGGAAGAGAATGTCAGGGAGGGTGAAGCTGATGTTTGAGCAAGGGAGAGAAAAGGAATCGGGAGATGACAGGGCAGAAGAGAAGCAGATTTGCTTATCAGACACCCCAAAAAAAACAGGCGTGCACACACAGTCAGAAACTCAGAGTGGTGCCATCTTAGTAAACACAGCTTTGATGATATGGGTATCATACTGAGCCCAATGGCTTGACTTAAAGAGAGAAAAACTGCTGTGCACTGTGCACTTTGTGTGTGCACATTAGTGAGCGAGAGAGCGAGAGAGACTGTGACTGTATGAGACAAACATACATATTAAAAAAAGATAGAAATATGAAGATATCAGACATAAATCTGTGTGTGTTTTTGTAAGAGAGGAAAAAGAGAGTGCGAGTGTGTGCCTTGACTACAAATCAACTTCTCTTATCCATCTACGTAGATTGCCCCCATATTGGATGTTTAATATTTAACTATAGCTCTTCTCTTGGGAGGCATGGAGATTAGAAAAAAAAGTTGGGAGGCTGCAGTGTGTGTTTGTGTGTGTGTGTTTATACACATATACGCAAAAGCACACACAAATGCAAACACAGAGCAGCGCTGACTTCTACAGATTATGTACACATAATCAGAACCCTTCATCACAAAACCACAAACACTCAATATGCAATCAGGGGCATACAAATGAGATGGAAATGTATTCAGACAACACCTAGTGTCAAAATGTTAAGTACAAGTTTCACACGTGTACCAAAATAACTACCGTGGTTCTGAAATAAATGAAAAGTGATAGTTTAAGTCATTTAATAAGCATCATTTCCCAAATCAATACTTGTTCCATTCATCTCAGGTCAGATGAAACAAGTAGCACATGCAACACAGGCATGTAATCATATTTTGATTTGGTGCAGTTAGCCGGCAGTAACAAAAAGTAAGAGAATATCAAAGCCAGTGGAACAAATTTACACTATATAAAATCATTTAAAAACAGAGGATTCATGTGGAAGATGATCATGTTAAAGGGGTGAATTTTGAGACGGGATATGAAAGTGGGGAAAGAGTCAGTGTTATGAATATCTGGGATGGAGTTCCAGAGGTGAGGAGAAGAGCAGCTAACGGCTCTAAACCCTGTGGTAGTCAAACGGGGGGAAGGGACTGTGAGATGGAGGAGGAGATGTCCAGAAGTTTATCATTTACAAATAATAGGTAATAGGTCATAACTTTAACCTCAAACCCTCAATTCTTCACCCCACTATACTGAAAATGCAGATCGTTGTGTGCACATTACATGCACCATGCATACTTTCCCACATTATCACGCAGGGGATCCAGTGCGGTGCACTCCTTTTTTGGCACAATATAGAATTACCTCTACGCAGTCACACACTTGTACATTAATACAAAGTGAGTCATTGTTATTTCACAGGGTTTACCTACTCCACTCACAGAAACACTGACTCAGTTATTCACTCATGCACATGGTTATGTTCTCATTTAAAATGACGCTTCCTCGACTTACAAACCAACAAATTTTCCGCTCAGCTGCTGTTTAGTGTAGGCAGGCCGATGTGCAGTTGTGGTAATTTGTCATACGTTGCTAATGTAAAGTAGGGATACTAATCTGTGTGTATGAAAATGAATGCGAAGGACCGCTACGTGGCTACATTTTGACTTGAATTTTAACTAACGTGATGGAGGCCTTAGGTACGTGACAAACTCACAGCTTGCTTCAGCATTCAGAAGGTTGTGCGCTATGATTTCATCCCCAAGAGTTAGACTGTCAGCACCAAGTTGCATTGCAAAGTTCTGACGGGTGTGAGGGAGAACATTCAGTGCAAACAACTTGAACTGTGGTGCGTGTCACTGTGTCAGTGTCTGCCTGCTCACAGTGTGTCAAAGCACCCTGCTCACCAGATTTGACTCCCTGCAGCTTCTTCCTTTTCCTCAGTACAAAATATGAGGTGAAGGGTCATCGTTTTGACACCGTGGAAGTGATCGAGCACATGTTCCAGATGGTGGTTGAAGCACTTAGAGAATAGGACTTGCAGGGGGGCATTCTAAGTGTGGCACGAGGACAGCTAGTGCGTTGCTGCACATTGTGACTGCTTGGAAGCAGATAGTGCCCAGATTTAAATCATTTTAGAGAAAAATCTAGATTTCCAAACAAAAATTGAACAAACTGACTTGTACTGAAGAAATATGCAAAAAATGAAAGCATTTTTAACCTAAACCGGAGAGACACAGGATGATGCAAAGAAAAGGACAGCACTATTATTCTTTTAAATTCAAGCAATATCATAAGCAACATTCAATTCACACATATTGAATGAAATTCAAACGGTACACTTTTGTTTATGTGGGATTAGGTTTTGTGTTTTTGTGATATCCCATATAAGAATCAGTAAGGAATTTTTTTTCCTTTCAGAATTATAAAATGTTTCATTTTCCTGTTAATTGATGCGCATTTATTACTTAATCTACACCTGTGTGTATTGCACAAACACACCTACACTGCCCACTTTGCACATCTGCCTGTGGACTCTGTATGATGGAGGAGATCAATAAACACATGCGTGGTCAAAGGAAAGGCGCAGAAACAAAGGGGCAGATGAAAAGAAAATGAGAGCGATTGGAGGAGAGGCAGCTGGCTTGGTTGTTTGTCGTTGAAAACAAAGTGCTTTTAAATGATTTACTTGTTCCCTGCATCGATGCATTCCCTCATTAAAGAACAGCAGACTGCGAGATCTGCAGACAGACCATGTTGCATGCCGACAAGCTGAGTCGCAGTTATGCATTATCAAACACACATTAAAACATATGCAGGGACGCAGAAGCAACAGAACCCGGAGACAGAAGTGGGTCAAGGCTAACCAGCTCGGTCTCACTACATTTAAAAAATGCAACGGGGTCCCGCTGTTTCGCATTAGATACGATGGATGCAAAGGCATTCGTAAAAATGTACGGCATGTGCACACTCATATACACAGTTTAGGAGAATATCTGTGTATTCTCATACCAGCAAGCCCAAAAACGTCAGTGTGTTTACTCCAGAAGAAAAGACATTTACTTTTGAATGCGGCACACACTCTCACTTACACATTTATTTATTCCCTTTGCTCAGACACACGAATACACCGAGGAGCTGTACGTTTTCACAGATGCAATGTACAAATTCATTTGCTCATGCATAACTAAACGCATATCTTTACCCAAATCTCAAGCTTGGAACAAGATTTGGACAGCAAATCCTCAGAAATACATTGTGCAAATCTCTTTAACAGTCATGACGGTTATTTTTGCTGGAAGATTAATTTCAAATGTACATCAGCGCTGCTCACTGGAGTTTGGTGCTGTTGTACATGCAAACAGATCCGCGTCACACACCCACGCGTGTATGCATGTGCATAACACAGTGGAGATATCTCTGTGTCAGCTCCATCAACAGGTGGAGGAATATCAGAGCGGAGCTGGAGCTAACGCCAGACAGGCCTGTCTTTCAGTAAACTGATGCCAGTGTTTGTGTAGGTCTACGTGTGTCTGTTCGGTGTGTTTTGACACATTTATATTGGATACGCAGCCAACGCTGAGCTATAACAGTGACATCCTTTCACATCTTGAACTCCAGAACTGCCTGTGCCAGCATTAACCGTTGCCAACATGAGCAATGGAAGCCCAATTTTGTCATCTGGGGAGCAGAGGAAGACTGGATCTTGTCACTCATGAAGGGTTAGATGAATGACTAAGGGTGCGAGAAGATTAATAGGAGGCATATTTTGCAGTGATGTTCCTGCTGCAAATAAACAAGCCGAGCGCTGGATGCCGAGACATGGGAGGGCTGAGGAAAAAGAGCGGGGTGACTTAAACAGGGAGGTGGAGTGATGAGATGTGGAGGAGGAAGAAAGAAGGGGGAAAGTTGAACTTTCGCTTAAGAGGCCGTTTGTTTCCTCATCTGTTTACTCTTCCCCGCAGTTCTTTACCATGAAACCGTTACGCCACTCGACCGTTGCCGTTCCACTCAGGGTATGAAGGAGAGTATTGTTTCAGAGGTTTCCATTTGGCATCTTGTGCGTCGTAGAAGTATGAAATACGAGTGTGAGGCAGTGGACCTCAGCCAGTGGGAGGGGTACACTCAAAATTTCTTACTTGGCATGAGTTCAAGTCATCTTGTCTACAACAGAGAAGAGAGATTAGGGCATATTTACTTATGGGCTCAGTGATAGATACTTTTCCAACATGCAGTAGCTATCTGTACTGGTGCCAACATGTCTGCAGAGGGAAGATTTATGACGGCACATAATCTGAGCCATTATGACTAAATATCAGAAATGAAAAGCCACAAAAATCCTGGTTTATTTAATGTGTGACAAATGTTAAATTTGATGTATTAGAGGGAGCATGTGCTGCCACATTGGCACACTATTTATTCGATTTGTTTGCTATCATTTTAGTAGATTAGGCCTTCACACTGTGACCGCTTTTAATCATCACTGCTTTTACAAAACTATTCTGCTTGCAGCAATATTAATATTAATATGCCAGTTAGCATATTAATATTGAGACTAATTTTAGATTTTAGTTTCTCCTTTAACTGGTTCCAGCCACAATAACATTTCTTCTTTTTCCACCTTTCTCCTGTCTTACAAAACTTTGCATAGCTTGGTTAGGTAGCCAGAATCATGACAAATGACTCGCTATGCCTGCTTTTAATAACTCCTGTGGATTAAAAGGTCAGTTGCTAATAAGGAATGAATGCTGCCTCTGCATATATGCATGTTGATAAAGACTAACAATGTGTTATAATTCCTCTTTGCTAGGTTTGATTACCAGGAGCTCCTCCACAACTCCACGTTCTGTTTGGTGCCTCGAGGTCGACGCTTGGGCTCCTTCCGCTTCCTAGAGTCACTGCAGGTAAATATATATTGTTGTGCACAATGCTGGCTATGACCATTATTCACCTTAAAGTCTCATGGGTCATTTTTCACGATTTACACCTACATTTGTCAGGGCCAGTCGTCTAAAAAGAATTTTACTATGCGAAATAAGGGCTTAAAGATTCAACAGTTTTATTGATTTCTCTGGAGATTAGATATATTTGTGTTCTTCCTCATGCCGATGAGCTTTAGTGTTATTTGAGTCAGGATCTAACAGTTGGTGGGCTCTTTGCTTAAGATACCAACAGGAGCTGAATGAAGCAAATTAGATGATCTTATTATCATGCCAGATTTTTACTTATTTGATTATGAATGGTTAATGTTGCCAATTTAAACTTGGTTTCAAACAAGCTTACATTATTATGTCTTATGCAAAAGGCGTACAGTGTGATAATGAGAGGTTTCACAGGAGTCTCTACAGTCCTGTGAAAAAGTCAACCCCTACTGCTTTTATACGCATTAAGAGGTTAAAGCGTCCAGGGAATACTAATAAAATGCAGCTGATAAAAGGATCAAATGTGAGCACCTCTATAAAAGCAGAGGTTTTGGTTTGCCGGTCTGGAACATTTAAGTGTGCGTTAACACAATACCAAGGAGGAAAGACATCAACAGTGACCTCAGAGCAGCATTTGTTGCTACCCATCAATCTGGGAAGGGTTCTAAGGACGTTTCTAAATAATTTGAAGTCCATCATTCTACTGCACGAAAGACTGTTCACAAGTGGAAAACATTCGGGACAGCTGCCAGTTTTCCCAGGAATGAACGCCCTAGCAAATTCACAACAAGGTTACTTCATGCAATGTTCGGATAAACTACAAACTACAAATCTCACACTCCCCAGGGCTCAGTTAGCATGTTAAATTTAAAAGCTCACGACAGTCCAATTAGAAGACCACTGAACAAGAATGGCTTGTTTGCAAAGGTTGCCAGGAGAAAACCTCTTGTCTCTAAAAACAACATGGAAGCTGACACTTGCAGAGTTGTATCTGAACAAACACTGCTCTTTGGACAGACAAAACCAAAGTGGAGATGTTTGGACATGACACACAGCACCACATTTAATAAAAACCAAACACGGCACATACACCTCATAGCAACAGTCTGCAAATTGGTAAAGGTGCAATGATGTGAGCTCGTGTTGCAGGCGCAGCACCTGAGCATCTTGCAGTCCTTGAGTTGACCGTGAACTCTGACTATCTGACAGCTAAAGCAAGGCTAAAATTGGGTCATGCAACACTGCAATGATCCCAAGCACAGCAGTAAATCCGCATCTGAATGGCTGAAAAAAATAAAAAAGTCGAGGTGCTATAATGGCGCAGTCACAGTCCAGACCACAACCTGATTGAAATGCAGTGGCAGGACTTTGAGAGAGCTGCGGATAAATGAGTTAGCACAAACGTCAATCAAGTGAAGCAATTCTATAAAGAAGAATGGGCAAAAATTCCTTCACAACAATGTGAGAGAAAGTTCCACAGAAAACAATTCGAGTTATTGCTACTTGTTCTAGAAGTTTACTTCTACTCAATCATGGGGTTTTTCACTGGACTGCACAGAGTCCCGAAAACCTTTTTCACATGACTCTGTGTGCTTACCAATCGTAATTATTTTCAAGCATATGTAGTAACATACTAATAAAAAGATGATTCAGAAGTTTTCTCTTTACAAAACGCTGTTGTTATTCTCAGGACTTTACTAAATCCTGCATAAACAATTAAATAAAATCCCACATGTAATATACTAACACAGTAACTATCAAAGCATTATCTGCTGATTTTCCCACAACGCTGTTAGAATAACTAAACCGCAGTGAAACCGTTCATGCCGAACAAGCTCCATCTCACATACTACCGTTCAATCAACAGGGAAGTGCAAAGAATGCAGAATGTTTATGCTCCAAAGCTGCGGTTTATGTAGTGTTTTTGGTTGTTGACACCTTAATGGTCACATCTGCAAGTGTTTTGCCCCAGACCTTTGTGCTATGCTGAATGCAGATTGAGCCATAAAGTCTTTATTTGCTATTTGAAAGGCCTTTTAGCCTAAAATGGATCCATTAACACACACAGACGCGAGCGAGCACTTATACAAACTCTAGGATCCTTCATTTAAGTCCATCAGTGAAATGTGCAAGCACACAAACAATAAAGAAACCACAGGCAGTGGAGTGAGAGAATAGTTTAAACGCTTTAACAGTGTGCTGTAGTTCTCACTCTGCCACCCAAGTTGATGGTCTCACACCAGTGCAGGAAGCAGCAGTGGCTGTTTTTAGCTTTGCCGAACACTGAACTCTCTGGCTGCTACAGCGTTCCCTGGCTGCACTGCTCTCTGGGGCTACGCGGTGTGTGTGAGTGTGTGTTTCTAACTGTGCGTGAATAGTCCGGAAGCATCTATGGGAGTGGCAGCCTGCCCCACCGCCGCTGATGTCTGCTGAATGGACAAATCCACACACAACCCACTCGGCTTGGCAGCAGGTAGCAGTCATGGTCCCTTTCTCCTCTTTGCCTTCCTTTTTTTTTTCTTGTTTTTTCCTCCCTACCGACCTCTCTCTCTCTCTCTTCCTTTCAAGTCGCTTTTTAAGATTTTTCGCTTGTGTACTCTTTATTTTTCATTTTTTGGATTATTTTTTTGGTGCTAGCCAAGCCCGCAGAAGAACTGGCATTTACCACTGTGGTAGGAAACTTGCTGCCAGCTTTCCAGCATACACACACAGGCACACATTTGCACACTCCTCCACATACACCATCGCTCAGAGCCTCCCCTTGTTCGTCTCCCAATGCAAACAAACCAAAAACAACTACACAGCACAGAGGCCTTCATTTTCCTCTACCTCCAGGCAGAGGGGGCTTTAAAACGTTTGAAGCTCACCCTCACAGTGATTTATCTCTCAGGGAGAAGGCTCCGGTGAGCTGCTGCAAAATTAAAATTAAAGGCCTTGGATTATCACTCGAGGATCTTCATTTGACCTTGTTTTAACCAGGTGCTAATTCCCACACACGCATGCACGTGCAGGTCCTGCTCGAGTGTCCTTCAGCAGGTTGATTCTCCGATGGAACGCCGGAGCGTGGAAATCTCGACGGGCCAGAGAGAGTGGTTGATTTCTACAATATCAGCTGCCGATGCTGTTCTCTCTAGTGGTTTCATTAAAAACAAAAAAAGGTGGAAACAAACCCAGATCTACCAACAGTCTAGACCACAGCGAGTAGAAAGAAAAACTGAGCAGGATGAGATGAAAGTGCTGCAAACAGAAATTGAAAAAAACAAGTGAACAAGAAGAAAATCTGATAGATTTACAGAGAGGGGAAAACCAAAGGGGGTGCAAGGGTAGCAAAAAAAAAAAAAGGAGAACAACATCAAAAACCTGTCAGTAAATGAAGAAATAAGACAACATCAAAAATCCACTTCAATGAAGCATTATGCCGTAACGCATCAACTGCTTCTTAGTTTCTCTGCTCTCTTTCCCTCAGTGTTCCTCTTTCCCCACACGTCCCCCTCAGTGGTTGTACCTAATTAGCGTGGAGTGAGTCAGCCCTGTCAGCCACATCTGTGTTTGCATCTATATGAATGACAGTGTTTAACAAACCTCCGGAGTATCCAGGGAAAGTAGAGATGAAGTTACTACTCATTCCAGCCACTCTGTGAGGGTCTCACACACACACAGAAGCATTGATCATATTATTTGCCCAGTTTGGGATATCACAGTGCCAAGCAGCTGGGGCTACACTCCTCCAGAATACATTGTATTCATGCAGCTGTATATCAAGCTATAGCATTTATTGCCAAAGGGGAGCCCAAGCCAGCAGCTAAGGAGGGCTGAATCAGAAGGAACCTGTTTTTGACTCACTGGATGTCAACTGTGGATATAAGCCTGTTTTTGACTGTGAATTTCACATGGCATTCTCTGCACGTTACCAGTTTCGAAATCCGCTTTTCTTTGGGAAACAACAACAACCTATGACACTGCATCCTACGCGTTTAAAAAAGGAAGGCTCTGGCAAAGCAGGCCTGCTTGGTTCTTGGGTGGCTCTATGTATTCTCAAGAATTAGTCATGCACAGCCAGATCTATGTATGCAACGCAGCGTGATTACAGCTTCGGCCTCACACGTGCAAATGTTCTCTCCCACAAAGCCAAATTTAGCAATCTCACTACATCCTGGGTTTAGCACCATCAGAGGCGATCTGGCTATAAGAAACTAGAAGGAACCCATTTCATCTGCAGCTTCTCAAATCGTATATTTTGTCCTACGTTACACAAGTTGGTTTCTTATTTTCACTGTTTCCTTTAAGATTCTTTAAAGTCTTGTTTCTGTTTGCATGTGTGTGTCCAGGCGGCGTGTATCCCAGTACTGCTGAGTAACGGCTGGGAGCTGCCGTTTTCTGACGTCATACAGTGGAACCAAGCGGTCATTGAGGGAGACGAGAGATTACTACTTCAGGTATAAGCATTTACAATTGTCCACACACAGGTGAACACCTTAACAGATGCAAACAGACATTGTGTTGACGGCCAGATGTTCATTCGTGATGCTTTGGGTCTTAGCATAACATCTGCATGAAATACATACTTGCGTTTTTTCATAATTTAAAGAAGAAAACATACAATTGTGTTAGTTCATGGGTGGCTCACAAGCCCTTAAGTTATACTCTGTCATCAAATAAGGCGTCTTCAGTTCTAGCAGATGAATATATGACTATAATTAAAGACATATCCAGAGATATGTATCCTTGGTTTAGGAGTCATGTTGGATTAGGCGAAGAAAAGAAATTTTACCACCTTCTTTTGGAATTATGCCACTATTTGGCAGCAACAGTAGCGAGGAAACATGTGAAGGGATGTGATATTCAACAAAGAAGCAAGCTTAAGGGATCTAGGGCGTATCGCAGCCTTTCGATTTTTAAATCAGATGTTCATTTATTCGATTTTTAACAGAATAAACAGTTTTTAAGACAAACACAAGCACTAAACCCTACTTTGTAAGGCTTACAAAGACTGATAGCCAGTATTATCTCTATCTGTGCAGAGGATTGGCTTAGTTTAAATGCAAACATGGACCTTGGAAAACATCCAGAACATCCAGGTAGGCATTACCTGTATCAAACGTGGTGGTTACAGCTTCGAGCTCCTTTGAGATTAAACACCCCAAAAGGCCTTAATCCAGCTTTATTTCAAAAGCACTCGCTGTCTCGCCGTGTCGCCTTGTTACACGGACGTACAAATAAACAGCCAGTGAGAAAAAGCCAGTTCTCTCCCTGCTACAACCTTTATCTCTCTCCCTCACACACAAATTACATCATGTCTCCTCTGCATTGATCCGCTTTGATCCTGACCAATAGAGGACATGAATTGGCATTCAGCTAATGAGCAGGCACGAGCTCCCTGGAGCTCAGGGCGAGGGAAACATTTTCAAATTAGGGTAGAATTGGTTGAATGAGCTGACCTCATCAGTGGAAATTCTGCACACCTGCAAAAGTCTCACTTGGAAACGGGCGTATATTACACACCGATGTTCACATCGTCTATGATCTGAGCGCAACTAATGCGAGGCTGAGTGCAGGCAGACGCAGTAGATGAAGTGAGAACTGCATTAGTGAAGCCGTCTTTAACATGCACTGAAATGAATAAGAAGGAGAATTTTACAAAAAAAGAGGAGATTTTTGTGGCGTCCCACTGTTTAACACGCATTTCTTCCACTTTGAGTTAAAACGAATGAATGAATTTTGGTGGTTCGTTGAAACCCCCAATTTATCCTCACTAATCAGGGTCTCATTATCTGATTGACAGCCGCTAAATCAGATCTGTGTTAAATGTTTTAGAGGGCCAAATTAAACAACCCCTCTTTTTATCCTGTTCTAGACTATTTTAAAAGGTACGCCTTAAATTGACAACCATCAAAGGAAAAATCTTAATCGTATTTGTTTTTTCTCTTTCTTAAATTGCTTTTTTAAAAATGTTACCATGTTCTCTTTTGTCTTTAGGTGCCATCTACAGTGAGAGCAGTAGGGAACGAGAGAGTGCTGGCTCTACGACAAAGGACACAGATGTTGTGGGAAGCTTACTTTTCCTCGGTGGACAAGATAGTTCTCACCACACTGGAGGTCAGGCCAAAAATGGACAAACTCTTGATAAGAAGGTCCACAAAAAATCCAACCAGATGTTGTTGGTAAAATCCAGGATCAGATATTCAAAGGCAAAGCCCAAACTCACTATTTGAAACAGAGGATGGAGTGCTGCCTGGGTATAGCATGTAGGACACTTAAAAACCACTTGCTTGTTGTAGCACTTTCAGACATTTCCAATCTAACATGCTAACATAGCTCTCTTAACAGGTAATATGTGAGTTCAGGGCAAGATTTTTTCAGTTTGGCTCTAGTACTTCAGTGAGGTTTTGAATACTTACTGAACTATCTGATGAGACAGGTTACTACACATCCAGTTACTTTGGCACTTTAGTCTGAGGATTATAAAACAGAGAGGTTTGGTGAAGAGATCTTATCTGCACAAACGCCTCATACCAACTGTCAAGCATGGAGGTGGAGGTCTGATGATTTGGGTTTATTTTGCACCCACAAGACATCAGGCCCTTGTATACTTACTGAATTGACCGTGAACTCCTCTGTTTATTAAAAGAACTATGCAATTGGGTTGTGCAAGAGAGCCTTGATCCCAAACATAGCAGCAAATAGAAAACAGAATGACTGAAAAAGTAAAGAATTAAGTTATTGCAATGATGCAAAGTCCAGAACTCAACCTAACTGAAATGCTGTGCCTGGACCTTAAGACGAGTGTGCTGAAAAAAAAAAAAGCCAACAAACCTTGATGAACAGAAGGAACTTTGTGAAGAAGAGTCAGCCAAGATTCCTCTACAATCATGTGAGAGACTAATAAAGTCTGAAAAGGATTACTAAAAGTCATTGAATCATGGGGTATACCTAGCCTTTCACTGGACTGCATAAACTCTTGTAAAATCGTTATTTTTCACATGACTGTAGCCACGGTGACATCAGTTATTGGTTAGTAAAGTCCCGTTCTGAAGCTTCAGTCTGAACATTTTTGGCCTTTGCAAGTGGTGAATTTAACAGACTTTACAGTTACAAGGATATTCATGGTAAAGGATGCCCTGCTCTGTACTCAAATGCTTTTTGACAGAAGTGGGAGTGGAATTTACAAATCCGCTTTCCTCGTATCACATTAAGCTTTGACCCCCTAGTGTCAACACAAGATCCGTGTCCCACAAATATGGGTGTGGGTAATACTGCAAACCTAGTTTTTCTCTGCTGCTATACAGATCTATTCAGAAATGTGCAGAACTCGAACGTTTCAAGTGAAAACAGCCGGTGCTATAAACACAGGCGGAGTTACTACTCCTGTGCCTTTTTCCTGCCTGCGTCCTGTATCATCGGTCCTCTTTCAGAAGACTGGTTTGCAGCAGAGCTGTCAGATTTGAATCAAACACCCTTGTATCATTATGATTACAGGGTTGGCCCATGGTCTGTATTTCCACTCTTTCACTATCTCAGTTTTGTGTTGAATTAGGTCTGTGAAACATTTCAAAGCAGGGCACATCTGATCCGTCTTAGAGAAATCCCCTAATGTATAGAAATTATATATCATTACTTAAATATCAGTCTCAACCTGCCAGTTTCTGCTTTACCGGTGACTATTATGACTTTTGATATGCTGCACATCAGGTGTAGAAGAAAAAAACTTAAACCGGAATTACAAAGCGCTTGGATTTTTCTTCACTTTTTTGTCTTTGAACAAGCTGCAAAGAAATGCATTGCAACGATAGCTACTCTGGCTCAGAGAATGTCATTTGAAGGTTGGCCCAGCAGTTAGATAATGCATAAAAAGAAATGCCAAACCTCCTTATATAAGACGTTTTTGAACACTCTGATAAAGTCAGTTTGAGTAAACAACACATTTAATGCTGCTGAAATCTGAAGAAATCACAGAACGAGTGGTAGACTTTATAATCAGATGTTTACAAACTGGAGTGTGGGAGCTCCTAGTTAATTTGATGTGTGGAATTTGTCCAAGGGATAATAAGAGAGAGGTTCTGGAGGTTAGTGATAAGCTGGTCATATACAATGCATACAGCATGTAGAGGGGCCCTCCGCACGAGAGACAGCTGTGCAGTCAGCTTGAGGTCAGTGAGGCAGAGGACTTCAGGTGCCAGTGTTGCTGCTGCATGGACACCTCCTATTGGTGTACAATGGGAAGTACACAGATCCTGTCATTACAGACTGCTAAAATATGCAGAGACAAGTGTGTCAGGACTTGAACTGCAGTGCAGTTTATATTAAGCTCTAAAATTCTCATGCACTGGCTTAGAAGGGAAAAAAATGAGTGTGATGCAGGCTTATACTAGATGAGTACAACAGCCACTTTACTGCATAAAGCCAACATGTATTTCTCACATTGCAACCCACATCAAACCTCATCCAATTTTCTTCCTTTCTTAGATCATTAAGGACCGTGTATTTTCTCACATATCGAGGAACAAGTACATGTGGAACTACCTCCCAGGAGGTCTGCTGGTCCTGCCAGAGTACTCCACTCATCTTGCACATTTCCCTTTCTACTACCTTGGATTAGGTAAATGCAGAGTTTATTTAAACAAATCAGCGCAGCTTGCGAATCTTGATTGCATGCTAAGGATGTTGGAAAGGAGATGAATAATCAAGACGCCACACTCAACATTACACAAATTGTTCTCAAATATTTGCTTAAGTTCTTGTCTGTATTGATTTTAATTTTGCATTCCTGCCAAATATTTGTTCTTTTATCCGGTTTAAATACATTCTTTTATAAATTACGGCAGCATTAAACTGCAGCATTGCTCTCTACAGCACAGTGCTTTAAATGTTCAGATTCTTCATGGTGGCTTGAAATTATTTCGATGATGTTCAGAACAAATAAATATTAGTATTATTAGGCTTAGATTAGCAGCACCTCGCGCATGTTCAGACAGATAAGACATTTCATCGTGTGCACATCTTTGTTTCATGACTTTGCTCAGGAGTCACTCCAGGACAGGAGTTCACTGCTGTCATCCATGCTGTCTCTCCATTGGTCTCCCAGTCTCAACCAATCATGAAGCTACTTCAGGTGGTCTCTAAGTCAAAGTACTGCTCACAGGTACATACTGAGATATTCTCTATGTAACTTTGTCATAACATTAAGCAAAAGTAGGACTGTGTGTACAGTTGCTTCTGAAAGTCGTCACTTTTGCACATATTATAATCATAAGTTTAACTTGAAATGCATAATTGTGAATGTTTCTATTAAGCTACACTCAGTAACCCCTGAAGGCAAAGCAAACACATTTTAAGAAATGTTGAGAACGTACTACAGTGCCTTTCAGGTATTCATTTTCTTAACTGTTTATCACGGGGCCTATCTTACCTTTATTGCAAATCTCTCATTTGAAAAGCATCCATGTCTACCCCTGCTGCAGTGCTCTCCACTTTCAAATTCCTCTTTAATGACTTCTGTCGTAAAGTGAATGGATAGTGCATAATTTAGTTCGTGCATATATAAGATTCAGTGATGTCAGGGCAAAATTATAGTGAAGTATAGATCTCACCAGGTTATAAAATTGAGTAGCTGGGGGAAAAAGATGAGTCTCCACACTTCATAGAGTTGTGCATCTGGACATACTGTGCAACCAAGCAAGAAATGCCATGGTCGCAAAAGTGACCTGGAACCCAACAGTCACTCTAACAAGTCAGTAGATGTTCTCTGCAGGAATTAGATGATCTGCCAAAAAAAGGGCAGCCATCCCCAGGAGCACATCATCAATCAGATCTTTAAGCTAAAAGTTGCATGAGAAGCTGCTCTGAGTAAAACAGAGATGTCCTTGAAGAAAACCAGCTGAAGAGCACATGCAACTTGAGACCAAAGGGGTGAACTACAAAGTAAGATTAGTGGTTTAGCAAGCTACGTCAAGCTAAGTCGGCGTTTTATATTTCTCAAAAGAGTTTCTCTTTTTACTTGGATAAATCACTGATGCTGAACACAATGCAGTCATGAGCAGGTTATGTTCAAAGCACCATATTTTAAGTGTAATGCAGATTCTCTGCTGCGGGAATACTTTTGTTTTGACATACACATTGTTAAACCATATCCTACCTTAAAAACAAGCATCGAGAGTGCACTCAGCCATTAAAATAATTAACTTGAATTAAAATGCTTATTTTTTAGCTCTCTGTGTGCGCTAACGTACCAGAATAACAGTTTTTTGCAGCCTTAATCTCTTGCCGTTTTTGCAACAGCATTGCATTTTACTGTTACAATTTTTATGTAGATATTTAGTCGTGTACGTGGCACTAATAGGGATCATTTTGTGTTGAAGAAGAGTTATATGACCTTTTTAGATGAACGTTGCACAGAGCCTGAACTAGAAAGCCCGACTTAATAAGACAAAGTTGTTAACTACTGTTGTGATACTGGTTATCTCCAAATGGGTTTTAGGTTTTGTCAAATCAGCTGGGAAAGCCTGTCTGTGTTGACTTTCATTTGTATTAAACCCCTCAGGAATCCTGCTCAGCATCACAATAAACCAAAGCATACATACTTGGTTTTAGAACCAGTTTCTAGTAGTTCTTGAGTTAAAGGCCAAACTTAAACCCCATAGAGCATTAAAAATTAAACTTCACCAATATGAAGTGAATGAGAGTGCAAAAATTAAAGTGGTCTGGATACTTGAGTACCTAAGGCAACTGTAGACTATGAAAATTTATCATTGAGCAAACTATCATATTATAGTGAGGGATCATACCTCTGAAATCCCTGACTGATTGATGACAGCTACTTTTCTAATCAATCTAATGCATCTATATGTCGACATTTTATATGAGCTCCACTTCTCTTCTGTTTTAGATCATTATTCTGTGGAACAGCGAGAAACCGCCGCCCAGTCGGAGCAAATGGCCTCCTATGCCTGTCCCCCTCACTGTGACAGATGGCAGGAGGAAGGTGAGGGCCAGTGCCACTCACAACTCAAGCTGTAGCCTGCTGTGACGTCTGAGTGACAGAATGACAAACTGTCGCTTGCTCAGTCTGTTTATGCGTCTCTCACTCGCTGTCTGTATCTGCTAATCTATTTTTCGCCTTGATGTCTCTTTTTTTTGGTCTTTCTTACCATCCGTGTTTATCTGACGTGTCCACCGATCCGTGCAGCATTTACTTTCTCAACCCTTCTTCCATGTGTGTCTTTTCAGACGTTTTTCTTCCTCCCAAGGCAAAACCTATAGTGATTCACCCATCTCAGTCACTCAACATGATTTACTGTATTTCATAATCTCTCAGAGCACAAGCCAGCCATCCCACGGGCTACAGCACCAGAGCTAAAACTAGTGACTTTGTTTTTCTCGCAGACCACCAGTCGGTTTCTACCTCATGTTGCCATAGAGACGGAAGCAGTGCTGAGTCTGGATGAGGATACGGTCCTACTGACAAGTGAGGTGTGTGGACATGTACAACACCCAATACATACAGCAGAAGCGCCCACATACTGTACATGAATAAATTAATATTTCTAAACAAAAAATTTTTTTTTTTTAAAAACTGAGTCTTCCTTTTCTGTACTTGCAGGTGAACTTTGCCTTCTTGGTGTGGCGGAGCTTCCCTGAGCGGATTGTAGGCTATCCTCCCAGAAGCCACTTCTGGGATCCCCTGAAGCGGGCTTGGGGCTACACCTCCAAATGGACCAATGACTACTCTATTGTCCTAACTGGAGCCGCCTTCTACCACAGGTGCATGAACGCAGGAGGAAAAAAATAATGAATACTAATTTGTTTCATATTTTTTATAACTGAAAACTTCCTTTGTGGTTACTAGTCTTTTAATTAAAGGTTCAAAGGAAGAAAAAAGACACTTTAGTAGAATCACCCAGCAAAATCTTGGTTTGTCTCACATATCCGGTGGTAGAAAAAATAATTTGAATTTGCTATTACATAACAGCAGGAAAACGTTTTATTGGAGTTGTAAGTTCTACATTAATTGGTCTGATCTTCAGTCGCCTTTATAGACATGTCACTTTCATGTATACAGATGTGAGTAATCTTTCCAATCCATGCTGGAAAAAGTATGTGAAACTTTGTGCCGACAGTTTCTCCTACTTGGAGTCAAGTGCTTCAATTAAGGAGATGAGATTGGCTGTGTGGGTTGGTGTGTCCTCTATAAATAAGGCATATTAATGTTGCAAGGGAGGTTTGCCTACAAAGGTTCATAAGTGAGTTAAATGACTTAGAAACAATTAGGTGGCAGCCATAGTTAGAGCTAATCAAATTACCTAAATGATAAGAGAAGGCGCTTCAATGCTTCTTTTCCTATTCACTTTAGTATTAGCTCCACTGCAGCATCCTTTATAACAACCCATAATGCTGTTCATCGATTCTCTTAGCACTGCAGTTGTCTTTGAAAAGATCACACCAGGATGCAATCCTGAGAGGTCGGAGAAAAACTCAAGGGTAACAGCAAAACCATCATAGAAATCTTTGAAACATAACGCAATCTTTGTTCATATTTCCACTATATGAAAACAGATATTCAATAGAATGGCCTTAATTTAAGGACACAATGCTTTTCGAGAACAAAATAATACAGCAGATCCCAAGTTTACCAAACCTGAAGGTTGTGTGAGTAGATGAGACAAAACTTAAAGCATTTTGACAACAACATATGTTTAAAGGAAGGAAAACAACAAAATCTCATGGGAGCATGGTTTGGGGCTGTTTGGCTCCCTCTGGGATTGAGTGCCGTGCAATTGCTGAATTCAAACAATGAATTTAAGAATGTATCAATATTTTTTTTTGTAAATGAGACTGTCAGGGCAGGAGTCCATGACCTTAAAATGCAAGCTCATTGTATAGTCAGCAAAAGAATGGTTGAAAAAGTAGAAGATCATTGTTATGGAATTGCTGAGTTCTCAACTGAGAGGTTATGGTAAGACCTGAAGAGGGCTGTTCAGTCCATACATCCCAGAAATGTTAACAAACTGAGTCAGCTTTGTAGGAGGCAATGGTTAAAAATGAAGTTCTTACTGTTGTGTAAGCTCCATAAGCAGCTACAGGAAAACAGGAGCTCCTACAAATGGCTAAATTTAAGAGTTCGTTCAATTTCCCAGGGTGCACTGAGACTTTTTAATGTGTTTGATATATTCGTCTATAATAACTGCAACATTTGACAAACTAATACAGAACAGACATTAAATTCTCAAAACAGACTGCTTCAAAGATTAAAAACTGAGAGCAAGGGAGAACTTGAACTCTAGCAGCTCCGAACATAATGGCACAAATATCAACATGATGAGCAATAAGGGACAATCAAACAGAAAGAAAAGGCATCAAGAATAATTATGTATTTGTGTGAGCGGGAGGGGAAAAAAAAGAAGGCAAGAGTGAATTACTCAGGGATTACTTCAAGCAGTTTGATTAATTCGAAAAGCACAAAGTCGATTATGTGCTATGGGAGAGGGATGGGAGTTCTTATACAATGAGAATGTAATTACACCACAGACAGGGTACTTTAAAAGGTGTTGAAACCTTGTGACATTTTGAGACAATGTGGTCATTATTGTCAGCAGACTTAATAAAAACACGTTTTTGTCGTGCTAATTTGAATCTCTAAAGCCTATAGACACATCAGCGCCAACTTTAATAACCCTTTTACTGCTTAAACAGAAAAATACCAATGAATAGTGAGCCTATAAAACACGACTCGCTCAATGGGGGAATGGATAATTTAGTCTTCATCTAATTTTTACTGCATATCATATTAGTAAACTGATCTGACGGCGCGCCGAGACTCAACGGTCAATTTTGGTTGTGAAGCACAATTAAACCTTCTTTAAAAAATAGAGTGACAGATGCTTAGTCTGAAAATATAATGATAAGTCAATTGAAAGCGCTATACACCTAAAACTGATATTGAAGAACATATGCATTGCATCAGTGAAGTTTAGTCGGCTGGGCACCTTAAAGCTTAAATCTCACTCGGCGGAGAAATCAACTTGTCCTAGATACATATTATCAGCATACATTACACCATCTACTCTGTAGAGGTCACCGAGCCTGCTAACAGATGGTTGCTTGACCTCCAGTTAATCATGTTATGTTACATTTTTATTTTAGGTTAGATGAGGCCCTTGTCTAAAGAAATTTACAGTATGGTGAGTGTAGGTATGAGAGGCTAAAACTATCATTAGAGCTACTGAAAGCGAGACAGGGCACATTGGCGGAAGAAGTGGCAGCATATCTTTGTCAGATTTTTTTTTTAAACATATCTCTTTTATATAAAGCACCATTGCCTGCTGGCTTTATGAATACAATGAATATTGTATGTTTATGTGACACTCTCAACTTCCCCACAGGTACTACCACTACCTGTTCACTCACTACCTGCCTCAGTCTCTGCGGACTCTGGTGGATCGCACCTCCAACTGTGAGGACATCCTTATGAACTTCCTGGTCTCTGCTGTGACTCACCAGCCGCCAATCAAAGTGGCTCAAAGGAAGCAGTACAAGGAGCTCCCCAGTCCACAGGTAGGTACCGAATTGTCTTTAAAGTAATAGTCTCTGGAGTCTCTTGATTTGGTTGTTAGAACAAGATTGGATGCTAAATAGCATGTGCCTGTTCTACTCCCAGGGTACGAAGAGCGTCCCTTGGGCCAACCCTGAACACTTCAACCAGAGGCAAGAGTGCGTCAACACCTTTGCCAACTGGTTTGGCTACATGCCCCTGGTGCATTCTCAGTTTCGCCTGGACCCCGTTCTCTTCAAAGATCAAGTGTCCGTCCTACGCAAGAAGTACAAAGACCTGGAGAGGGCCTAACATTTCTGGACAAAAAGACTAGAGAGCGTTGAAGTCGTGTTTCGAGCCATTTTGAACAGACAACTATGGCTACTAAGTAAAAGAAAGTTCAAGACATGTCTTTCATGCATGGGAAGTGGACAAAAAGGCACCGAGGTCCATTGGTGACATGGACAATCATCAAGAAAGACCCAAGGAGATCTGAACTATATAAAGATCTTAAGAGAAAGGAGTCTATAAAAAGTACTTCAAATGCTTCTTGAGTCTTGAGAAATTTGGGGCCTTAAAATAGTCCTTGCGATTGGCCCTGTCACTGAGAAAGGACGATTAAAATAATCAAAAAAGGAACATTTGTGAACACTTCATATGTCAGTGCTACTGCAGTGGCAACAAGGAAAGAATGACTATCTCATGCCAGGAGCACCCAAGGGACTGGTACCGGTGCCATGCACTCCAGCTGGCAACATCTGTCTCCATGTTACTGTTGCCAAGGAAACAGATCATTTCACATTAAAATGCTAACTGTAAGACCAATAAAGTGATTTATAAATGCAAACTCTGGACTCGTGCTGCAGAATGTTCACATATTTTGTCCCATAATTGCCAAACACATAGTGTGTGGCCACATTTCCAGCAGAGGCGAAGTTCATCTTGTAATTTAAGGTACAAGCAACAAAGATAAGCAATCAGGGAGGCTGCTGTAGCATGTCTGTCTTTCATCCTGTTATGCTACAAACGTATAAAAAGAATCATGTAGTTCTGGTTACACTGCTGAAGATCACACTGTCAAGCAGTTTCTTGAAAAACACATTAATGAGGAACTAATCATTATGAATACTACCTTTAAATGAATAAGCGGAATCTGTAGGAAAACAGCCAAAATCTTTGTTCCAGTGGATTTATCATTTGTAGTCCAAGTTGGCATTTATTTTGAATATATGCAGATAAATGTTTGTCATGCAGAGCAAAAGACAGACTCTAATTGCTGGATGGTGATGCCAAACCTAGTAAAACTCGGTGAACTTAGGCAAGTAAATGTGTTTGAGGCAACCTGAAAATCAGAGTGTGGAAGAAAGGTGAGTTAAGTAACTCTGAACGTATGGTTGTTGGTGCCAGACAGGTTGGTCTGAGAACTCCAGAAACTGATGGTTTACTAGGATTATCCCATACAACCATCTTTAGAGTTTAAAAAGAATGGAGAGCGGCAGGTCAGTGTGTGAAAATACCCTGTTGATGTCAGAGGAGAATGTACAGACTGCTTTGAGCTGCTAGAAAGCCAACTCAGCCGCTCTCTACAACCAAGATATCGAGAAGAGCTTCTCTGAATGCACAACACATCAAACCTTGAATCAGATTGGCTACAGCAGCCGAAGACAACACGTGGCGCTACTCTTGTCAACTAAGAACTAAGTTTATGAGGGTCTCGAAAAGCGATATATAAATGCAATCCATTATTATTATTATTATTATCATTATAGTTCACACGAGCTTACCAGACAGAAAAAAGCATGATCCATCCTGCCTTGCATCAACAGTTCAGGCCGATGCTGCTGGTGTTAGTCTAATGTTGTTGGAGATATTTTCTTGGCAAACTCCAACTGAGCATCAATTAAACATGGCAGTCCATCTGGATATTGCTGCTGTCCATGTCCATCCACAAAGCTCAAATAATCTCAAAAAGGCTTCTTTTACATGACAGTGACCTCACTGTACTCAAATAGCCTCTACAGTCACCAGAGCATCTTTGTGATGAGGTGGAACGGGGGATTCAGATCATGAATGGGACAAAATTTGAGGAATGTTTCCAGCCCATTATTAAATCTATGCCATGAAGAATAAGGGCAGTTTTGAAGGCCAAAGGGGGTCAAGCAAAATTTGCTGTCTGATGGATACACAATTCCACTACAAAGGAAAAGCAAAATTGAATATAGAAAACCCATTTGGGACAGGATGAGTTTCCTTAAAAAATAAATTACTAAAGAGTATTATACTAAGCACAATCACAGGAATCGAAAGTGTGGTTCGATAGCATCCGACATGACAGGGAGGACTGACAGGGCTCTTTGTTGTAATGTAGGCAAACTACACAAAGGAGCTGCTGCTGTGTAAAGAAAGATGAATACAGAAGGTGTGCATCATTACAAGTAGGTGGATGTACTTTGATGTACTTATATATCATCTCAATTGTGAGGGAGATCATGCATTCCCACATCCACCCTCAGGGTTGAGACTGACACTATTCAGCTAATACTTCAGTCTGAGTGGGCCCGTCCTGGATTTAGAAGCATGACTTTAAAATATATATTTAGACATTATGTTTCAAAAACAGAAGTTTATTAAAAAACAAATACCCAGTACACCAACCATTTGTAGTAGAGTTTACAAAAATAAATTCACAGGTAAGCAAGTCTCAACACCCTCAGGGCAAACAGGTGTGATGTGTAGCACTCAGGAAGCTAATCTCATTAAGCACATGCACACACTTACGTACAAAGCACCTGAGATACATAGCTGCCAAAGGGCCAATTGGAATTCTGAACCCACAGTGTTTTACAACTGACAGAGCACAAATATGGGCAATTGTTCCTATTGTAAACAAACATATCAGATCAGCTTCTGTGCTTTGTGGAAGAATTACCTGCAATGAATTCAAGTCTGTCTGGTGTCAAGTCAGCACCTGGAGGCAGAACACCATGAATAGGCAGTTTAGGCTTCTTTCTCTTCAGGGCTTTTTGTTACCTGAGGCGATCCAGGTTCCAACTTATTATTTCATCAGTTTGAACAAAAGTCTATAACTTATTTAAGTAGTTAAAAAAAAGTTGCAGAGCACTTTCCAAATGAAAATTGGGTTATCAGCTGCCTCATACAAAAGAAGAGAATGACTGTTAGAATGTGTGTCAGCTTATCCTGTTTTTGGCTTTGACTCGATACCTTATTCCTGCCTTGTTTATGATTTCCCCCTTATCGGCTCCAATACAACAAACAACACGGGCTCTTAGATGAAAAGGTGCAAGTAAATTATGAGTTTCAGTGATGAAGTGCCAGCTCAGAGTAGGCGGAAGGTCCCATAAATCCTACAGAAGTTCCCTTATTTCACCTGGTCTTTGCCGTCTTAAAGTTCGTTCACCCGCAGAAGAGTGCAGAGCTAAGAAACAAGCGCGCAAGTCTCATTCAGAGCCATCATTTCCTAAGTGTCAGCATAGCATTGACGTCCCACAGAAGGTTCCTCATCTGGTCCATCAGAACCTTCATCTCCTGGTTTTTCTGACGCACTTTCTGTATAACAACAAGACATTTGGCCATTAGTTAAACTCTGCAGAACACGTGGACTTTAACCATTGCCTGTTACATCCTTATACATATAAGCAATCTGGGAAGGAAATAGCTAATCACATATTAACAAGTGATGCTGACACTGCCTCACACCTGGAGGAAAAATACTTTTCTACTGGTGCTGATGCTAAAGCCAACAGTCCTCTCAGCCTCAGGCAGAATTTTCCAGTGTTTTGCCACTGGCTCCCTGAAGGCATTTTTGTAACCAAACTGAAATATTAGCTCTAACAAAAAACAACACCCTAATTCAGAATGAGTAAATAATGCAGTTTTTTCAGTTAAAATCCAGACGCTACTTTAGCCTGTGTCAGCACTGCCACCTAGAGGAATTTGAAAGGGACTTTATTCTGCTCATTTCAGCATAGCTGAGTAACACTGTCCCCAATTATTAAAATATATAATAAACTGTGGAACACCAAACAATATATGAGAAATTAATTTATTCATATGTTGAATCCATTTCAAGAAAAGCTGCAGCAATAAGTCAATTAATGAACTAGCTTACTGGCATAACGTTTGTCGCCAACACTTTTTCTTTCTTTGTAGCTAATGATGTTTTCTGCACGTTTAGGATTTCATGTTTTGTGTCACAAAGTGACGGTAATAGATTTCCTGGCTGTTGGTCAGAGAAAACAAGGCACTAAAAGATGTCCTTTTTAGCAGTGGGAAGTTATCAATTTCAAGACCAATTATTATTAATTATTACAGAATTATTTGCAAATCTCACAAACCCATAACAATTCTCAAATGTTTAAACTGGGAAAATGCCACATTTAAAAACAAAAGGTAACACTGACTTTGCTGGCACCAACACGTATGTTTTCAACAAGTCTCTAAATCCTGGACTTGAAATTCTGTGTGTACTGCTTTTTTATTTATTTTATTTTAACTTAACCACCCCCCAAACAAAAAGGCCCCGTCACTGCTGATCGTTTCCCGAGGCGACAAGAACATTACAGAAACCCACCTCTAGGACCTCGTTTCTTTCCTGGATGACAGCAGGACTGCAGGGCTCCACTCTGACAGAAACCAGCTCCTCTCCAGCGTACGGCACAAGCTGGACACACAGCCGAGGTAAATCAGGATTAAAATTGCATTTTTTTCATTATCAAATCAGACATAAAGAAAAAACATAGTTCTACAGTAGTTATAAAATAGTAATT